TGTTAATCCATAGTGTTCTGAGCGCAACAGAAAGGTCACATAAATCTAAAGTTGTTTTTAAAGGTTTTCATTTTAATTAAAGATATCTTTTCTAATTCATTCTTGTTTGCTGTTTTCCTGAATTCCTTTTCTGTCCTGCAAATCCCTGTTTGTCTAATCACTGGTCCCAATACTTTGATGAGTATGTATTGTATTAGCATTAACTTAAACATTTTTAAATTTGTATACACACAAAATGGCAAATTACTGCATATGTGAAGAATGTGGTAAATAAATATATTTGAAAAAAAACTTAAAAGTAACTTGAAGTGTATTCAATATTAACTCTGTGGTTCATGTTCATAAATGGTTTTCATCTTAATGTCAGGCAGCTTGATATGCTCAATATGGCCAAAAGAGAAGGGAAAAAACTGGACTTTATTGTCCAGGCTAATGGAGGGGAGGGAGCCGTGTTACAAAGAAATAGTGGGGCCCAGTTTTGACCTTGCACCAAGAAAACCAGCGACACTGACTCTTCAGCCTCCTTTTAAAACCTGTAAGTGGGTCTAAGGAAGCACTGCCCCCCCGACTCCAGTGGGTAGAAATGGACTTTAGGTTTCTAATGAAAGGTAAAAATCTGTTGGCCAGGAAATGTGCCTTTTAAGACAGGACTGGAGGAAACGAGATCTGAAGCTAGATAGGTTGCTTCCACTCTGTTCTGGTTGGAATGTGTCCTCTCTTACAGCTCTGGTGTTGCGGTGAGGTGGGGCCTTTAATAGGTGATTAGGCCCTGAAGGCTCCTCCCTCATAAATGGGATTAAGGCCAGCCCTTCACACAGCATTCCGCCCCCTTGCCCTTCCTCCTCCTGCCATGTAAGGGCGTGTTCCTCCCCTCTGGGGGATGTGGCCCTCACCAAACGACTGAGCTTGCCGGCACCTTGTGCTTGGACTTCCTGGCCTCCAGAAGTGAGAAATTTCTGTTCTTTGTAAATTACCCAATCTCAGGTATTCCGTTATATACAGCAGCACAAACTGACACCCTCTCTCCAAAGAATCTACTCATAACAGGAACCTATTATGATTGACACTTGACATTGCAACATTCTTCCCATAAAAGCACATGTTATACAGCAACAGTCAAGACATATTACTCTCTAGTTACCCTTGATGGCCTATCTGTAACCCACCTGGTTCTGCCGTGCAAGAGGAGTAGGAAGGGAGAAATCCCTTCAGAAATCAAACGTGCCCGTTTCTTGGGCCAACTGGCTATTCATTGCCACTAGGGGCAAAGCCACGGGGACAGTTTTGCTTGATTAATTTATGAAAAGTTTAGGGCTTGGATAGCTTGAATTTGTACTCAACTAAGTTCATGCATCTAACTTAGAAAACTGGTATAACAGTTTGTAAATTTATCGTGAGAAAACACTCATGGAGTAGCATACTCAAGACTGGCATGATCATTGCAATTTGCTCTCTGTAGAAGCCCAACTTAGTGTATGGTGAGAAAGATGTATTCTCACAGACTGCGTGCTATGCACTGAAGATAAACGTGAACAAGACAAAAGCATATTTTTTCCTGTAGGCACACCACGTGTGAATTGAATGACACAACTAAGTCTGAAGCATCATTTCAGTTTTAGGGACGTCCTTCTTGTGTGGAAGCAATAGTAGAAGCTACTCTTTCCCTTGGGAAGCATTTGGCTGAGCAGTGCCTAGATTTCCTTCTTAGTGTCTCCTTTTAAAAATTTCTAATTGGCACCTAGCTTTTTATCTAAGTACAAATACTGGCCTACTTCCCACTCAGACTTCTTCAGGGCACTATGCATGCTCTATTTGAATGCCTGCAGGTGTGTGTACAATCCCTGCCCACATGCTTAGAAAATGAGTCGGTAAAAAGATTTGGTGCAAAAGCACACTCACTGCTTTTTCCCAGTTCTGGGCATGTTTGGTGATCACACTGACTTCTGAGATAATGTTTTCTCCACCTGAAGTCCTGGAGGACCCTAATGCTTCCCAGTATCAAGCTGCCAACAGAGATCAGCCAACACCAGCAAGCACACTTAGCCCTGCTTACAACCGACTCTTACCATCCCTATGTCTTGATGTTTCCTATTTAGGAAAACTTTTACCTGCTCATCTTATATTTTGGTATAGTATTTTCCATCAAAGACCTCAACAGTATTTTACTTTACTCCATTTTAGGGTTCCCTTGGTATAATTAAAAATTAGGAGTTTCCCCAAGAGTAGCAATTGTATTTTTCAGTAGTGATGGTCTTACCGTAATAGTCTTGTTCACGTCTCATCTATTCAACTTTAAAGACCTTTGCTGAGAGCTTCATATATATGTATATTATATATTTAAAATAGTTGCCTCTTGTTTCCACCCAGATGTCTCAAATGGGACTGCAAACTCAGTATGTGCACAAGTCCTAAATCTCCAAGCCCCTCTAACCTGGTCTTCCTCCTCTGTTCCCAGTCTCAGTACAGGGTATGCACGAGCACCGTACCATTGCACAGGATAGAAAATGAGAAGTAACCTTTCATGTCTTTTTCTTCACACCACAGATCTAATCACTTCCCAAATCCTATAGATTTTACTTTCTGTGTATCTCTTAAATGTGTTCACTTGTTTCTATCTGTTCTATCAATACCCTAAATTCTTTTTAAAAACTAGGTTAAGAATACAAAGATGAGTCACTTCTTCCCATACCTAGAGACTTGACAAGCCATGTATGAGCCGACACTGGAGTTTGGGGACTCTGAAGTTACGTGTCGTGGTTACGGTTCCAACTGTTCCAACTGTAACACGACAGCAGTGAGGAGGGAGAAAGGCAACTGTGGGGGAAATGACCTTCCACCTACTGGTGCGCTGCCTTGCTCCAGCTCATCGCTCGTTTTGGTGTTTGCCAGTACTTAAAATGAATGTGTGCGCCCCATGACGCTGTATGTGCATTTCAATTCTTTGAAAAACTACGTGCTAGGGAAGGGGGCTAAAATGCTTAGACGCCCAAAATGTATGACTAGAGGAGTTCAAGGGGAGCAGAAAGATTCTGTTTTTGCTTTGAACACTTTGCCCACATTTCTGTTGTTACTCTGGAAACAGGAGCCTTGATTCTGTCAGCACAAAACTCAACGATCCAACCGATCTTCAAACGTCCTGTCGAAGGCGTTTGCCCAGGAGCTGTACACGGCACTGACGAACATGACGACCGGATAGTTTTCTTCCCTTCTGAAACTTATTTTCAAAGGTAAAGGCATCTACAAGCTAGGATGCCACCCGCGATGGTTATCTGGTGTTACATCTCTGCCTTAATACGAAACGATCCCCGGGAGCAGTTCGGATCCGGGTCTCACTTCAGTGCCAACGAGCCGATCGAAATCTTTCCCGAAAGCAGGTTTTTACGTGAGAAGACGCAACGATTTTACCTGAGTTGGTAGCGCCTAACGTGCAATCCTCCTTCCCTGCCTCTAGCAAAAACAAAAAAACAAAAGAAAACTGGCCCCGGAACGCCCGCCTTTGTGCTCCGGGGAGCGGCGTTTAACGGTCCCGGGAAGACTCCGGAAGACGCGATCGAAATGCCAAGGACGGGCAACTCATGCAACAAGGGGACTCAGAGTTTTTGATTACCCAGTTTTCCCCTGAGTTTGGGCTTTAGAAAAGCATGCAAAGCAACACACATGAGGGACAGACCGGTGGAAACAACTCTCCACACGCTCACATGCCGCGGCGCCTCAGGTCGCGGGCCCGAGAAGCCGTCCCTGTGCGCGCCCCGCGCCCCGCTGGCGCCTGCGCACTGGCCCCTTCCGCGGCCGAAAGCCCCGGAATCGAGACGCTTGGATTCTGTGACAACGGCCCGATTCAACATTTTCTTCTGTATTGCTGCTGAACCTATGCTGCGACTTCAAACACATCGAAATTACGAGGGAGAGTTTCTCACTTTTCTCCCGCCTCCGCCGGCACCGCGGAGGGCAGCCCCGGTGAGGGTTGCTTAGGCTCGGGGTCCTGGGTTTCTATGGCGACACAAAGCGTCCCGGGAAAGGGCGAGGTGACCAAAAGGCAGGCGGGAAACACAGTTCGCAGGACAGAGGAGCGCAAGTATCCGTTTCCCGTCACTTTTCCCCAAGAAGCGGCGCGAACCGCCCTCACCCCCGAGCCCACGGAATCGGCGTGCGCCGGAGCGCTGCCTGCGGGGGAGGCCGGGGACGCGGCCGGGCGGCCCGGAGCGAGCGGCGCCCGCCAGGGCGGCTGTGTGAGGGGCGGGCGGGGCGTGGCGCCCCCGCAGGCTTCGTGGTCGCTTCCGGTGACCTGGGGGAACACCGAGGTCCCTCCAAAGCAGGTAAACCACGCTAGACGAATTCTAAATCTGAACGTAAGCGCGCAACGCGTGTTGCTTTTGGGCGGCGGTTTTTGTTTTGTCTGCAGGACGATGTGGGGGCTGCAAGTCCCCGTACGGCGCTGATTTGTTTATAGACGAGACTTCCGGAGGAATATTTCCAGTTACTGAAGAGCGATAAGAGGCTTTGTTTATCATGTCTCTCCCGAAAACTCCCTCCACGCGGATAGGCTCGGCCTCGACCTCCGAGCGCACAAACTCAAAAGCGTCTGCAGCCAGGGAAGACTCAAGAGGTAACCTTCAGGGATCGCGCAGACACGAACACTCGCAGCCATAGACAGACATCACTATCCAGGCACCGTTTCTCTTAATCTGAGATTTAGGACACCTTAATTAGCTGTTTTTCTAATACACGTTTAAATAAAACCAAAAGCCATTCCTCTTACGGTATTTTTGAGTCAGAGTCCTGTTTCGCTTCTCCTCCACTGTGTTTATAGTCTTTTCACAAGCTGATGAACTGGATATTGCTTTAAATTCACCCTATTTTAAATACCAGTGGTTGTATGAAACAGCACTTTTCTTCTGTCTCTGACTTTAAAGAACTTTAAGAACGTAATAGTGGAGGTAAGAGAAACACATGCAATTTAGTACAACATGCCAATTTGTTTTAGTAATTTTTCTAAACGAGAGTAATTCCTTAAGATTTTAATTCATGTAGAGATAAATGCAGATCTGTACTAGAATAAGAATCAACTAGTGTTATCCTTACCCCTGTTATGCTGAAGCTTTCTCCAGCCTTACCTTCACCTTGTGTTTAGGGGAAATTGTAATAAAACCCCACCCAACCTTTTTCTTCCTAGTTCTTTTTTATAAGAGAGAGAGAGAGATTTAGTAATACGGACCGTAAGAAGTTTCTATGGTACATGATACTTGCTTACGGAAATAGATGTATACCATACCATGTGAGGGTCGTAGATTAAGGACGATGATAACCTGACTCTACTTGACTGACTCCATAGGAGCCCTACAACTCCCCCTTTATAACCCCTCTGTCCTAGTCAAGCTGAGTAGAACACACTTTTTATGGTTCTTATTCCACCAATTTGTTCAGATTGTTCCACTCTCTTCCTTTCCAACAGCCCCAGTTCCATTTTTAAACCCAATTCACATCCCTTCCACTCTAAAAATGCCTCAGTTTAATGAACTTCTCACCTTTGAGTTTATGCAAGAAAAATTACTAATTTGACAGTTTGGGGGAGAGGAGTTTTTTTTTTTTCTTTTTCATTTTCACATCAAAGGGAAAACAGATATTCATTCCCATCTTAGGGGTATCCTAGTTAACTGAGCAGGTGAAGTGAGTTTGATTTTCAACTTTAAATTTGGAATAATGAAGGTTCATCTTTGTACCTGAGTTTCTGAAACTGTATGATGTAATGTGAGTAGGGTGGGCAATATGTGTTATTTCTCTTGACTAGATGATGTTCAGTGTTTAAAGTATTATTTGTTAGTCTTGCCAACTAGACGCAATGTTTCTCTGTAAGCAACATATAAATGGGATTGATGGGGCAGTCTGGGAAGCTCCATCTAACACCACAAAACTGTAGTAAGAACTTTTCTTTTCCGTTACTTTCTTAGGACTTCCTGAGCTAAGGGAGAAAAAAAATATGGTGGATCGTTCAAAACCCCTTCCTACTTCCCTGCAGAATGAGTTCATTCCTCAGGAAGTTCTTCTTTCTTTGACCTGTGCAGCTAATGCTGGTCCTTGTCCTGAAAACTTACTGCCTCCTAAGAAAATTAAAACCCCAAAGGTGTGTATATACGTGTGGTTCATTAAGTATTTATTGAACATATGTTATATATTGCAGATAGCCTTAAAATGTTTGTTAATTTCCTAGATTGAAAACTCAAATCTTTTGAATGAATATTTCCAAGACTCTTGAGTATTTCTATTAACCTGTCTTTATGCAAATTTATTAAAATGATCATTACTACTCTCTTAGTCTTAATATTTTTCATTTACTATAGAATTGTCCTAGTTTTAATCTTTCTCTGTTGTTGAATAAGAATTCTACTTTTTTTTCCTTAAAGTATCCATGTGTCCTTAATATAAATATTGTACTTGCTCAAAACTATTAAGAATAGATTTCATTTGATTAGAGCACCCTCTGCTGGATATTCATGTGTTTTTGCTTTTTCCCCAGGATACTCTTCCACGCTCTGCAGACCATGTCTGGCATAACCCTATTAGAAGAAATAAATTTAAATACCTGATTGACCATCCCGTCTCTTTAACAGGAGCTGGAAGGTAAAGAAGGAAGATAGTGGGGGTAGATGCAGATAAATAGAGTTATTTTCTCATTTTGTATGGTTGCCTTGGTGGGGAGCAGGATTGGAAAAATCATAGAATCATAGATTGCAAAACTTGCAGTATATTTGATGAATCAGAATACAATCCGAAAGGGCCAAGGGCCATCTTTTGTGTGAGATTATTATCGGTAGGATGGCTATAGGTGCTGGCTTTACATACTTTGGCTTGTTTAAATTTGTTTTTTGTGTGCCATTGTATACTTGTCCCTATCCTCTCGTGTTCCCTATTGTTTGCTAGTAAATGGGGCAAGATCCAACAGGCAAAATCCCTTTAGAGCGTCCTTTATCTATATGTATATCTTTTTTGTACATTTTAGAAGAAATAGCAAGGTAACATAGCTTCATGATGTGGAAAATCTTGAAAAACAAAAGCTTTAATTCCTGGTTCTCATCAGAGGGAACCCTTAACTTTTACAGTTTCAGATCAAATCAGTAAATACTATTTATAGATTTTGTATTATTTCTAAAAAATATTCTAAATGTCAGCATTTTCCCATGAAGATTGAGACCTGCTCATTTTCTACATATTGTCCATTAATCAGTTTACTCCATGCATGCCCCTTATTTAAATGTCACTTCTGCTGAAAGAAATGTTTAAACTTACCATATTTGGGTAGGTTATTTAGTCTTTCTGAAGTTCCATTTTCTCATCTATAAAAAGGGAATAATATGCTTGCTCAGTTTTGTGTGCCTGCAAGGGACATTGTAAAGCACAAATGAGATAATGGCTGTAAGAGCACTTGTAAATCTATAAAGTGCTATTTAAATATAAGGTGTTATTATTCATCTATGTCTCAGTGTAAGAAAAAGTGGCAGAAACTGGTCCTATTAAGTTTTATATCCTGGGGCTTTAGCATCATAAGGTATCTGTACTTTATTTTGTGCCTTCAGATCATGCTTACAGTTATTAGTGATAATTAGTAGTTATGAGTTGTTTGAAGTACTTTGAAAAATTAATTAGCTACATCTGAATGTGGCAATATCTGATGTTAAAGTTTTAATGTCAAATGAATTCTGAGTTGGAGTTTTTAAAAATGTGAAGATCAAGCCCTGGCTTGGGTGGGGCAAACATGTAGCATTACATGTTACCAAAATATTTGTACCCCCATAATATCCTGAATAAATAAAAAAAAATGTAAAGATCAGGTAGACAGGATAATACCTCCTTCCCCCACCCCCACCCCAAACATCCTCACTGTACCTGTGAACACACACCTTGCGTGGCAACAGGGACTTTGCAAATGCGATAAAGGTTGAGGACCTTGAGATGGAGAGATTATCCTGGATCATCAGGGCCTAATCACCTGAATCTTTAAGATCTTTAAAACCCTTGACAAGGAAGGCAGTCAAGTGGGTCAGAGAGATGAGACAGAAGGAGACAGATTTGAGGTGTGAGAGGAGTTCAGCCTCCCATTGCTGGCTTTGAAGACGGAGGAAGAGAGAACACAGCCAAGAAATGCAATTGGCCACTAGAAGCTGGGACTTGTAGTGACAACCCAGCTGACAACTATCAAGGAACCAGGGATCTCAATGCTATAATTGCAAGGAACTGAACTCTGTTAACAACCCAAACAAGCACAGAAATGGATCTTCCTCTAGAGCATCTGGAAAGAAAGACAGCCCTGTCGACACTTTGATTTTAGCCCTGTGAGACCTGTGTTGGACTTCGGACCTTCAGCACTGTAAGATAATAAATTTGTGTTGTTAAAGCTGCTGCTAAGTTTGTGGTAATTCGTTATGGCACCAAGAGAAAACTAATACACATATGCACAACCAAAAGTGTTTGTAACAAGAGGTAACTTGTCTAGCATCCTGAACTATCCAGAACCCAGCAGTAAAATACAAAACAATGAAGCGAATATCCTCTGAGTAATATTTTTTGATGGCTCTTTCAGTCAGAGTTCACGGCAGAAAATCACTCTAGATATTTTAAGGAGGAAAGAATTGAATGCAGAAAATTGGGTATTTACAAAATTTTTAGAAGGGCTAACAGAGCTGGTATGAAGAAGTGCCTGTGGGAATGACTCCCAGAACAGGATTGAATTGAACCCCCAAGGAAGCTACTGCCTCCAAGACTGTCACAAGAGCTTCAAGTTCAAGAATATGCCCCTTGAATAGACATTTGTCCAAAGAACATAAAAATGGCCAATAAGCACATGAGAAGATGATTAACATCATTAGCCATTAAGGAAATGCAAATCAAAACCATGAGATACTATTTCACACCCACTAGGATGGCCATGATACAAAAGGTGGACAATAACAAGTACAGGCGAGGATATAGAGAAATGAGATGTGTCATACATTTCTGGTGGGAACGTAAGATAGTGCAGCTCTTTTGGAAAACAGTTTGGCAATTCCTCAAAAAGTTTAACGCAGAGTTACTTTATGACCCATTAATTCTACTCCTACGTGTATACCCAAGAGAACTGAAAACATGTCTGTGCAAAAACTTGTCCATGAGCATTCACAGCAGCATTATCATACAGCCAAAAAGCAGAAACAACCCAATGTCTATCAGTTGATGAAGAGATGAACAAAATATTATATATCCATACAATAGAATATTATTCAGCCATAAAAAGGAGAGAAATACTGATACATGTTATAATAAGAATGAACCTTGAAAACATTACACTAAGTGAAAAAAACCAGTTACAAAAGGGCACATCTTGTATGTTTCCATTTATGTAAAATGTCCAGACTAGGCAAATCCAGAGAGACAAAAAGTAGATTAGTGGTTGCCAACGGCTGAGGAGAGGATAGAGTAGAGAATATCTATGGGTATGGAGTGTTTTTTGAGGGTGGTGAAACTATTCTGGAATTAGATACTGGTCATATTTGTGCAACTTCGTGAATATATTAACTTGCGATTTGTGAATATACTAAAAACTTGTAAAGGAATGAATTTTATGGTATGTGAATTATATCTCAATAGAGAAAAATATACCCCATGAGCTGTGATCCAAAGATCAGGAAGCTGAAATCAAGAAGTTGTCAC